TTGCCACCTTGCGCTGGATGGTGAATTCCAGCAGGCAAATGGTGAATAAGTCTCCCTATTACAAAAACAAGGGAACAGTCAAACTCCAGCAGAGGGATTAGGCAATTTTTTTTCTGGGGAAGTTATGTCAAACTTCTTCTACAAGGTTTCTCTCATCATCTTCTGAAGCAATGGTTTTCAAACATCCGAAAGTCACAGAATCCTTTCATGTCACTTTTTCTGCATGGAACCTCTGCCCCTGGCTCTGGGTCATCTCTGCTGATGTGGAGCCAGGTGATCCAGCCTGGTAATAGTGGTGTACCGCTTCCCAGCCTGTTTTGCCATTACCCCCAAGGTCTGTGCAGAACCCCTAATGACCTATTGTAGAACCGATGTTCCATGACAGTTTCAAAAACACTGTTCTGAAGCACCTGGTATTGGCTCTACTAGCAAATGATCTGAAGACTCCATAACAATTCCCATGGGGCAGTAGCTGCACAATACTCTTCTAAGTACTGGGTTTTCTTTCTTTTTCCCCCCCCTTTTCACTCCTCGCTAAATGTCATGAAGTCCAGGCATCAGCTAATTTAATCTGTAGAGAGACTGACCACAATCAACTTCCCCCACATTCCCTAATCAACAAATTCTAACCTCAAGCTTCAGGACATCATGCTGCAGCTTGCGCTGGAACTCTAAGAAGTGTGAAATAGTCAGTTTTCCTTTCAGATCAGCTCCAAAAAAGTAGGTCGTCAGAGCAGAATTGAATCCTGTTTTCAGGGTATTCCCTGTAGTGGAACGATCTCGGTGACGCATACCCATGCTGGTTTGGGAGCGAATGATGCTTTGGACCTAACAAGAGTAAAGGGCAAAAAATAATTAGCGCAAAAATACGAAAGAAAGACATTTATGGGCCACTACAAACTGTGCCAATTCACTGAAGTGTTACTTTTGATAATTCTCTCCTGTGGCCAAAAAGGCTAAATAAAACATGTACAAAACACAGCTGTGGGGATGGATCAAGGAGATTATTTTACTGTTGTATGCAGGCTTGGTGAGGCTGATACTAGAATATACTGTTCTGCTATCTACATTTTTAAATGGATGGATTAGAATATGAGTGTGTACAGAAAAGAGCTGCAAAACTTTTGTAAGATGGAAAATTGCTTTAGAGTGCCTTATGCAGTTAAATCAATTTAGCTTATCAAGAAGATGACTGAGAGGTGACTTATTTACAGTATATTACATATTTTGATGAGGAGAAAATGCCAGGTGCCCAACAACACTTTAATCTGGTGCAGAAAAACCCAATTCAAACCAGTAGGAGGAAGCTGAAGCCAGACCAATTCAGTTAGTAAATAAGGTAAACGTTTTCAAATAATGAGTGTGATTAACCATCAGAGCAACCTACCAAAGACAAATGGTGGATTCTTCTATCGCTTGATGTCTTCAAGACTGGATGCCTCAACACAGGAGTAACCATGTGAAATTCTGTAGTGCTTGTTAAGTAGAAGGTCAGACAAAAGTATTCTCTGGCCTTAAAATCTAGTAGCACTACTATAATTCTATAAGTTTTTTTCCATTCAACTTAAGTGAAGGGCCTGTTTTACATCAAACACTTGTTGTATTTCTACACCCCTTTTAAATATGCTACTGTCCGCTATAACCCTTTCACTAGCCTGACTAGTGTATGCTTTCAGCTTTAAGTCTACATTAAAAAGAATCAGGGAATAACCTCAGTAGAAAGGGAGCCTCCTTTGTATTGCCAGGAAGACAAAAAAAAGGAGAGGGCAAATGGTAAGCACCAATCATTCTAAAAATTAAATAAATAAAGACAGGGAGCAGGACTGATAGTTCACTGTCCCTGACACTAGGTATTTTAGAAAAAAAAGTGACTTTGATCAAGTGCTGCTATTATATTCAGGATATTCCTTCATCCTCTTTTATGGGAATTTAGGACTAGAAGTGACATTTGGATCATCAACTTCCAGTCCTTTCCTACTGCAGGTGCCATATCGTGTGTTCATTTTTATAAAATGGACAAGCTCCATCTAAAAGTAGGGTTACTCCCATGAATAAAAAGTAATATAATTCCCTCTCAGTCTTCACTTTGCCTTGCTGAACAAGGTAAGCTTTTTTAGTTTCTCCTCTCATGTGACACATTGTCCTTCCCCGATCACTCTCGTAGTCTCTCTCTCTACCTGTTCCAGTTTGAACTTACATTTTGTAAATAGTGAGCATGTTTACATGAGATGCTTTAGTTACTACACAGCAGACTAATTTGCTGCACAAGAAAGCATAACCATCTACACACGCATGGCAATTACAGTACAGTAGACTAATTTACTATATTGTGGATGGTCCCATCAGGTATGTGGTATCCAGCAGCACAGTAAATTACTGTGCTTAAACACACATGTAGATGGTGATGTTGGGATTAGTTTACTTTAGCTCAAATTGAGCCAGAGTATATTCAGTTGCATTAATTGTATGTACAGACGTGCCCAGTGGTAACTAAAAGTGTCCGTAGCTTTCCAAATTTTAAAAGGTAGAGCTGTTTTCATTCCTCCCTGCCAAGATCACATTTACAAGATTTAGATTTACAACATCTGGCAGAGAAAGAGAAATCCAAAGCTCTATTCTACCAAGCTAGCTGCCCAACTTTAGCCCAAAGCAAGTCATTCGATTAGAACAAACATTCACTTCAGTGGCTTTGGGGTACTCTGGGAAAAAGGAAGTGAAGGTGGTATGTATGCTCTTCTCCTTTGGGAGCTTCTAGAGGTTACATATTATTATTTTATTGCCAGCAATTTATTCTTCCTCCTCCTCATGCTCACAAGGGGGAAGGAGGCAGCTGCAAAAAGGTTTTAAATATCAAAAGGATATGGGACCCTTGCTATAAAGAACAGTAGAAAGCTAAAATTTTTCTTTGGAGAATGGTGAAACTAGTATAACCCTGAGGAATAGATTCTCTAGGCTTATGTCACTAATTCTTATGAGGGGAACAAAATGAGAAAAAAATAAAACAGATCTGACCTATCTACATATTAAATATACAAAGCAGACAGGTTTCTTTTTCCTTTTACAAATTCAATTATCCCAAATGTTTTGTGATCTCTGTGATCTGTACTGCCTAAATGCTTTCTCTACATCAGGCACTGTGATAAGCTTACGACTCAGAAAAACCAACAAAACAATTAGGAAAGAAAAAATTGGAAGAAGAGAATGAATTTAAGTAGACAGGTTCTACATTTTTATACTCATGTAACAAGAAACATTTTGTCTTAGAGCTGAAATACCACTGAGCATTGGGACCCTCATTTTTAATTTATAACAGCTATCAACTTTCACAGGAATTCTACACAGGGATTTTGGGAAGAGAAAACTGAAAATTACTGTATGTGAATCTGTAATTTAGGACTGGTTTAGAAAAAAAATAATCATGAATTCTAAAGACTACTTTTGCAAAGGCAAACATTCAACTCATTGGAGACTATCAAACAGGAGACACAAGGGGCCTTGTCCTGGACGTTCTTTTTAATTATGGTAAATGATATATAGTATCATTTTTTGCAAGATCATGCCTTTTATTTTGGTTCTTAATCTAAAGCAAAGTTTAATCTAAAAACAGGTTTGTTTGTGTACAGGAAGGTATAAACATCTTACTATGTTAGTCATGTTCTACAGCAGACAATGCAATTTCATTCTTATTCATACCCCATTATAGCATACCTGAATATTATAATACAAATGTACTGTCTGACTCGTTGACATTCCAATGGAGGGACTTTCATGGATTCATAGATGTTAGGGCTGGAAGGGACCTTGCAGATCATCAAGTCCCGCCCCCTGCCCCATGGGCAAGAATTCAGCTGGGGTCAAAGGATCCCAGCAAGATAAGCATCCAAATGTTTCTTGAATGAGTCCAGAGTAGATGCCTGCGCCACTTCTGGAGGGAGTCTATTCCAGGCCTTGGGGGCTTGGACAATAAAAATTTTTTTCCTCATGTCCAACCTAAAACGGTCTTGGAGGAGTTTATGACTGTTATTCCTTGTTATCCCTTTGGGCGCTCTAGTGAACAGATGTTCCCCCAGATCCTGATACACACCCCTTACGTACTTATAGGCAGCCACCAGGTCCCCCATGAGCTTCTCCATGCTGAAGAGTCCAGTGGCTCTCAGCCTCTCTTCATAAGGCCTATTCTCTTGCCCTCTGATCATGTGTGTGGCTCTCCTCTGGACTCTCTCAAGCTTCTCGACATCCTTCTTGAATTGTGGAGCCCAGAATTGGATGCAGTACTCCAGCTGCAGCCTCACCAAGGCTGAGTACAGCATGAGGATGACATCCTGAGATTTACTTGAGAAGCATCTATAGATGCAAGCAGAGTTTTGTTTGCTTTACAAGCTGCGACATCGCATTGGTGGCTCATGTTCATCTTATGGTCAGTCATGACCCCCAGGTCTCTTTCAGCCATGGTGCTAGTGAGTGTAGCACTGCTGAGCCTATAAGCATGCTGCGGGTTCCCCACCCCCCCGCCAAGGTGGAGCACCTTGCATTTATTGGAATTGAATGTCATCAGGTTTGTATTCACCCACTTACTAAGCTTATCCAAGTCGGCCTGGATCACCAGCCTGTCCTCAGGTATGGATGCTATGCTTGGCCAGTGCGCTTCTGACACCAATGTCCACATCGTTGATAAAGTTGTTAAAGAGAACTAGTCAAAGGACAGAGCTTTGGGAGACACCACTGGTCACGGAGCGCCATAACGATTTGCTGCCATCAACCACTACTCTCTGGGTCTGACCTCAGAGCCAATTTCTCAGTCAGACTGTGGTATAGCTGAGGCCACAGTTGGCCAATTTTTCCATGAGGAGATCATGGGACACCAGATTGAAGGCATTTTTAAAGTCCAGATATATGATGTCAATCTCTTCCCCCTTCTCCCTCAGCCAGCTTATCAAGAAGGGTCTCTTTGATAAATTTTCTCCAGAATCTTACCAGGGATTGAGGTCTAGCTGATTGGCCTGTAACTCCCAGGATCTACTTCTGTCCTTTCTTGCAGATGGGTACCACACTGGCCTTCTTCCAGTCTTCAGGTACTTCACCTGAGCACCATGAGTTTCCAAATATTTTTGCCAGTGATTGGGCTATGACACCTGCCAGCTCTTTGAGTACTCTAGGGTATAATCTGTCAGGGCCAGCTGACTTGAAGGTGTCTAGCCTCTCAAGGTGTTCCTTTACAAGGTCTATACCGATACTGGGTATAAATACGCCCTCACCCTGGCCGTCCCGCTAAGCGGAGCAGTCCCTTTGGGCAGATGAAAAACCGACGCAAAGTACCCATCAAGCAGATTGGCTTTTTCCTGGGTGTCGGTTATCAGCTGTCCCATTTGGTTCAGCAGGGGTTCGAGGGGACTTGTTATGGTTTGTTTAATTTTGTGTACTACATGCACACAAAAAATTAAGGTGTGAACAGTAAGGAG